ATACCCCAGTGGCATTAACCTCTTTGAAATCCCAGATCAATTTATTTTTAACAAATTGATTCTGCTTCCAGAGAAAACCACATAGTGTTCAGTGCCATTGTCAATGCCGGTGTGCGGTTTTCGCTCCAACTCCTGGTTAACAAGAGGTATTGAGAATTCGAAAAACAAGGCAGAGAAAGACAAGCTTGTTAATTTTACTTAAGACAACCGAGAACTTTTTTGTCTGTTTCTTTGTTGCTGCTTTTTTGTTGCAAAGAAAAAGAAAAACATTGAAGGCGAAAAAAGCAAAATAACAATACACAAAAAATTAACAAACGTTGTACACTTGATTTGAGTATAAATTCTCCTAACGTTCCATACGTCCGCTAGGCAGGTAACTCGTTAATAGCGCCAGTAATGCAAAAAATAGCTAATCCGCTTTCGATCATTGCAATATATCACTCGCGTTTGGATCATGTTAGAAAATATGAAATTTCCCTTCATTTCATTTATGATAAGGTAAGTGTTTTGTTGACCTACTGCTAGTGAAAAAAGAGGATTTTGAGATAACGATTGAGTAAATATTGAGCTTTAACGTCAATTCATAATATGTACACAGCGTTGATGCATGTGTGACGAAGGCTTGCTGTGTTAATAATCGAATGCACATTTTATCGTGACAGTTTTGTCTTGCGAGGAATGGCATGTCAAGGACAAAAGAAGTGAATCGCAATTTAATCTAACTTTGGAGTCCATAAAGGAAAAATACGTGTTGTTTTTAAGCAAGTGATATCCGCACGGCGGTGAACGACGTGTCATGTCTGTTTCAAATTCAAAGTATTTTGCTCAATGTTTGCTAATGCTGTTGTCCTCTTTGGTGGTCTTGATGATCTTGATGAACTTACTTGATCATCCGTTAATACTGTTAAGTCAAATGAGCGCTTATTTGCTAAGTTCCTCCTTTTTGGAAACTTCAAAAACCGAAGAATGGTCTGGAAATTATAACTTCAACTCAGCTTAATTGATAATTATTCAACAATGTCGATGTTAAGTTCGAGCCTGTAATGTTTTGAGATTTATGATTATGCCATCAAATCTAGGTATCAAGTGGGCTTATATCGGTCTTCTCGTAACTTTTTCTAGCAAACAGAAACCTTTAAGCTCTTAACATTTCTATTATGTGGTTTTATGGTTTATAATTTGTTTATTGGTCAATTGAGAATAAAATGCTGGAACTCCCGTTGATTTTATTTACTTAGCAAAGCCCATAACAATTATAAAGGTAGCAGGGATGTAAACATGAAACTTGCGAACATATTGACAAGCTTTATTACGCACATTGTACGATGTGCGTAATAAAGCACTCCCTGATCGATTTTAAATCAACATGAGCCGAATATACATATATATAGCCGCCTCTATTCAACACTGCGTAACAACCAAGATATTCAGCTTAATTTATAATCATCAGTTCATTATTGTGTCCCCGATTGGTGGAACACTCGTGATTGGCTAGAAGAGTTTGACACTTTTATTTAAAATCAATAAAGTTTACTGTCGGTAAACAGTCTGATCATGTTGTTGCATGTACGCTCTTTTACAAAATAAAAAAGCTTAAATATAATGTGTCCAAGGTTTTTTTTTCCATGACGTGTGAACTTTGCATATTCATATAGCTTTAATACAAAAAATTGACCTTTTTTGGTAGCAGGCGTGGATCTACACTGGTTTCCACCATTTTACAGAAATCAGTCAGATTTTTCTTAATAGATACATATTTTTAATAAAAAACTTTTGAAGTTGCAAGGCTTCATCCAAGGTCAATGGAACTGGCCAATATCAACATCAATAATCCTGTCTGAATGACTCGAAAACCCAGGAAAGGGGACTTTGGGGAGTTAAAATCTAAAAAATTTCCCAGGGCAGAAAGAATCTATACTGGTCGTGATCCGTCCACAGTCTGGTCAGGAGCTCTGATTGGTTTAATACTCTTAATAGCCTTTTTTTGTAAAATGACAGAAAAAATACAATGTACAGATTTGAGCTTTGCTGGGGCCAAAGTTTGCAGCAAAACCAGGTACCAGGTACACAAACAAATTTGCATCTGGAACAAATGACATGTACATTAACACTGGTATAAGGCCAAAATGCAGACATCTCTCTTGCAAAACATCCCCAGTGGTGGGGAGTGATAAGAGGCAACTATAATATTATTGCAGGACCAGATCAGAAGTACACGTAGAACCCTATATGTCCTCCAGACTGAGCCATGCTGTCTCCTTGCCTGCTCCACTGTTAGCATCGGAACCTGTTGCATGACTGGAAAGTTACCTGAAGTTCAATTGTACAGATGTGCCAGAATAGCTGGCAATGTAAAAAAGAATGAACTGTCTTCTGGCAATATCGTCCAGTGATATAAGAATATAGTATAAAACTGTCTTAAATTATTGTCACTAGTAATTAATCTATCCCATAGTAAGAAAGTTATCGGTAACTTGCATTTCTTGTTCATAATGCATAGAAATTAGATAAATCTTTCAGATCTCACTCGTCAAACTGATGGCACAGTACATGCCCTTCTTTTTAAAATCAATATTTTTCACCAAACAACAATAAACCCAGCATCACATGTCATTTTAATTAGGAAACAGCCCCTACATGTAAATCCTTCAGTATTTTTTTTCAAGATGTTAAAATACCAGCATTGAAACAGCTGTATGAAGAGGCCCACCAATATAGATATAACCTCAGTAACTGTAATAAATATTGCTTTTATAGTCATAAAAATAAAATCATTTATATTAGTTGCTAAGTTTTTAATGTAAATGTAAGAAACATATGGAAAGTACTCCTTCTTCACTGAATTATTTCATCTGAACACTATATAAACCACAAATACATAGTATCAAAGCTGTTGATTATTATTGACACAAAGTAAGATCCACGTTATGGGAGCTGTAAGCTTATAATCCTGGCAAGAAATTAGTTATTAGTGCTACATTTTTTTGCACTTAAAAGGTTCAGTAGTAGGTTCACCATAACAATATAGCAATCCTTTACAATAACATATTACATTAAAACATAATAATCACCTTTTTTTGTAATAATTTTGCACATTATTAGTTGAAAAAGATCGTGTTTTCATGTTTGTGTATGCAGGGTCAAATAGAAGTATGATTTAGTTGAAAGGAAACACAAGATTTACACAAGAGATGAATGTTGAAGATCACTGGGATGAAGGAACTGACAAACCCTAATGACTCAGATGTTGAAGGCGTACAAAGGAAATAAAGCTGGAAAATCCACCAATGCATCTTCTCACAGTAATCGAGAGTCTTACGGAATTGAAAACAGTCCACACAGGTAAATGATCTGCGTGGAAATTTGTTTTTCTCTACTGTTCGTGAGTTAATGAAGTAAATTTTCTGCTGTTACAAACAGATTCAAAACCTGCATTGAGAGTGCTGAATGACAGACAAATGACAAAAGGCAGGCCACAAAGGTCAAATGTAAATGCGATGAATCTATTGCAGTTAATATTCATGGAATATATATTCTTCTCTAGAAGAAGCATTTGAGTTTTGTGGAAGAACACCAAGCTTTACCATAATCTAGTAGGAGAAACCTAAAATCAAACAAATTTACATTTGGGACCCTATAACTACTGGATTAATAATAATTAATATTATGTATTGATGTACATCATCATAGTACAGAATTTCTGTCACTGAGGCTCAGAGAAAGGGAGAAATGTCCCTAGCGGCGAGGAGCTAGGAGAGATGAGTGTTTTCGCAGGCTTAAGTAGACTTGTGGCCTTTTGTTCCCACTAGTCTGACTTGTGGCTTAGTGGTGTAGAGTATCTGGACTACATGTAGTGACCAGAAGGTCATAGGTTAGTTAATGCTTCGTACATGATGGCAGTACTCTGATTCTCTTTATTACAAATTTTTTTCATTATAATTTTATCAAATATGTTCTGTATATATCAAACACAGATCCGGGAAACAAAGAGATCTTATCCTCACTAATATCTTAGAAGAAGGAAGTACAGTTGATGAGCCACGGAGCTTCGAACAAGATGAGAGGTACCTGGATGAGTGTTTGAAAGTACTTGATGGAAATCCTGAATCACTGCAGGTACATCATACATGTACATGATTGCATGAAAAAAAGCATTTTATAATACCCAAGTCAGTTAGTTTGAATTAATACCAGTGCTTAATTACCCTTTTTATAATGATGCCCTCTGTTGCTTTGTTGATGGTTTCTCTTCCATTTTGCGTGACAACCTTCCCAGGGAGAGTATTGTAGATGGAGCCTCTTGTAGGCAACTCACTTTCATCACCAGCCCTGACAGATTTTGACAGTGTTCATTGATCTTGCTACTTGACAATCAAACTGTCTGTGATCCCCTACTGGTAAGAATTGGATAGGCAGGCTGTGCATGTTCCCAAGCGAGAGAAAATCTTGATGTCACAATAGCGTCTTGACGTCTTAATACCATCATGCTCAGCATGTTTCATACTGTTTCTCATGGTTTTTGCCATGAAATATTGCCAAATGATATTCAAGTACAGAATGATATTGAGACGCTGGACACTTGACCCAGCTGGACTGAATGTGACTTTAATTTTTATTCAAACCTCTCAGAGTCAACGTGCACATGTAACGTTTTTATTTACATCTCTATTTTGAGTTTTATTTGAACGTTACATTGCGCGTGATTTCTTTATTTTTTCGTAATTTTTCGTGTTCGAAATGACGCTTGTTACTTAAACATCTGCTCGCAGCACTAAACCTTCCGTTAGGAACCACTAGTCTATATAATAATTATTATTTTATGAATTATCTTTTGATTATTTCTAGCCCAATGAATGTCTCTGGACAAAGGTTTATAAAGTGTATGCTTCTTTCTAGTTTGTTTTTTTTTTGTTACTACTAGAGTTCAAGTTTTATTCAAGTGTTTGCCAGTCTCAGTATAATACTCATTTGTTTTATATCTTGTTGATACCTTGTTTTGAAGGTGGAGTGTGATTTAGAGGAGTATGACTTTGATGACTACAACTCAGTCGCCAGCACTGCATCACTTCTTAACATCCCATCTGAGTTAAGACAAGAAAATGTCATCACAAGGAATCATTCATATCTTCCAACCAATCAGAATGCAGCATTTCTGGTATCGCCACCCAATGGCACTGTAAAAGAGGATGCTGTCATTAATGGCTCAGAAAACTCGCCATTTCACATGAGGGAGAAGTTGATGAGAATGTCCAAAATGCAGGCATCCATTTCCAAGGTGAACAACTGGAGTAAGTTTGGTTTGAGTGGTGCACCAAGCAAGGATGAATGGAGAGATGTTTTCTTGGATGCTGCTCAAGATGGAGACTTGAAAAAAATGGTAATTAAGTAACTTTTTAAAAAAGAATTTAACGTATCATTTTAACTAGATACTGTTACCCAATGGATTGAAACCAAGATAAACCATGTCTTATTTCAATGAGCTATAAAATACATGTATATAAAACCATAAAGTCATTATTTTAATTTTAAAAAAACTGAATGAAAGTGCAGTTGGTCAAATATAAAAGTCAAAAGGCAGCGTTGATTAAAAACAGTCATGATGACATTAATGTACATATATGACAAAGGAAAAAAAAGTGCATTGTTCAACGAAAGAAAATCAGTTTCAAACCAATAATTGGTACAAAATATTTAGAAACCTTAGGGCCCTTAACCTTAGAAAAGGGCATGATAAAACTTCAGAGGCCCATGGAAATCTTGTTATCCAATTCCTGGAATAAACCCGAGCTAGAATAAAAACCTACTATTTTCTGCTGGTTTCTGGACAGAACTAAAGAATTCAAATGAACTGAAACTGGTCAGTGTTGACAACCACGTGCTCAGGAGTTCTTCCGATCTTCTTGAAAACTTTACAACAATTTGCTGCACTCCCAAATAGCTACTTTGTCTCTGTAAATGGCATACAATATTATTATTATCATCATTAAATTATTTAATAAATTATTATTGTGACTATCAATATTATCATCTCAATTTCTTTGACCAGCAAGAGGCATACAGCAAGCTTGGTGGAACAAGTGAATTAACTATCAGATTTACAGATTCTGATGCCAACACAGCATTACACAGGGCTGCTGAAGCTGATAACCTTCCATGTCTTCAGTGGCTTGTCAGACAGTTACCAAATGACTGTTTGAGGAATATCATCAACCATGAAAATCTTACTCCTCTTGCTGCAGCACTCAAGGTAAGATGATCAGAAAAGTTGCTGTGTAGTAACATTGTGGTTTACTTACATTTTGTATTGTTATTGATGGCTTATTTCTGGTTGGAGGTATTATGTGAATGTATGGGTGGGTGGGTGGGTGAGTGAGTGATACTACACCCTGTTAGCAGAGCTTTCGTTTCGTTTGTCTTCTTGAGTGCAGTGGAGAAAAGGAGGGTTTACCTGAATCGCGTCAAGCCTTTGAAGTCATTGAAGCCTGAACTTCTCAACTACCCAATCTAGTTGTCTCTCTTAAAACTGGTTTTCAAAATGTGTACATCCGTTAATTGAGAAACCAATATATGGTCATAACTATGCCTGCTGCACAAAGGACACAGCTGTCAGGCCTGGTTTTGAATCTGTATCCCAGCAACAAGTAGCGCAATGCTCGACAAAGATCTTATTCAATTCATGCAGAATCTTTCTCAACATTGCCAAAGTCAAGACTGATAGTGAAAAAAATACTCTGCTAGCAGGGTGGTGTGCTACTGAGCCCTTATCAATTTATAATAATGATGTTCAGCTGCATTTTGCAGCCCTAGCCCTATACTCCACTTGTAAGCCGCACTCCCTCTATCCCAGGCTACACGTAACTGTAAACAGACTCCTCACACCAGCGTTCAATTCCCCGTAATAAGCACCTTATGTTAGTGGAAACCTCTGTATTCTCCTGGCCAGAATAGAATTCTTGAAACCAAAACTCTTCACATATCCACCTAGCCTACACTGTACATATGACATTACTCCTTCTCCCACCCTTTCCTCACGGGGTGGATTCATCGTTATTGGACGTGAACTTTTACATATCTCACATTAACCTCCTCTACTTAGAATGGGAGTGTCCAGTGCGCACAGTGGCTGCTTGAAGACACCTCTGCTGCAGATGAAATGGCAGAAGTTACCAGTAGATTTGCATTGTTTCACTTGACAATTCAAAATGGTCAAGATGACTGCCTTAAGTGTCTGTTAGCATATGTCAAGGATAAATACTTGGAACTTGGTAAGTAACCTGAGTAGTGTGTTTTTCTCTACTTGGCATTAACCTGTTGATGATGTAATTTTTTTCAAATATGAGAATAATTATCATCATCATCATCATCATCATCATCATCATCATCATCATCATCATCATCATCATCATCATCACAAGCGGGCGGGGGGGAGGTAGCCAGAGTAGCTCTGAACGTCTATAAGACAAATATTATGCAACTCACCGGCGTTTTATCTCCAGTCCAGTTTATAAGTACATCTGCACTGGTGGTTGAGCGCCCGGTTTTAGCGGGACGAATTTTGCCTTCTTTTTATGTGGGAAATTCATTCCTGTTAGCGCGATGAACAAGGCGAGCTTTCAAGTCATCGTGGAGCTGCGTGGAGTGTTCATGTGGCAGAATTCCTCACCCAGTTACCGAGATCTTTGTCGCCTTTACTTATGAACACAACAATGTTTTTCAAAGGAAAGAGCGGTGGATGTGGAATCTGAGCTCATATGAACTGGTTCTAAAAACACTTTTTGCTGTTTCCTCTTTCAGGTGTCACAGATTCGTCAGGTGTCACACTCGCTCACGTTGCAGCAAGAGAAGGTCACCTGACTTGTATCCAGACTCTTGTCGATCATGACATTGACGTCACTATTCCAGACAAAGATGGCCGATCTCCCGCCGACTATGCATACTCAGCCGGTCAAACCGGTTGTGCCCGGTATTTGGTGATGGAAGAATCATGCTGGTTACTTTCCGTGCGAATAGCGAAGCTTCACAAAGAGCTCAAAGATTGCAAAGAAGAAAATAAAGAACTCAGACAAAGATTGGAGGCAAGTTGTTATCTTTGTTGTCGTTGTTTGACTCATTTATATTTGAGACCTTCAGATTCTAAGACTAGTATGACTACGAGATTTTTGTTATATAACTAGTGTGCGCGCGTGAACAAGCGTCAGTTTTGGCGGGAAAACGTGGTAGCCGTCGTCTTTCTTCTACGCGTTTAGCAAGAATGTCGTGCGGAAACAAGTTATCAAATGTTTGAACTTCAGTTTTACGATCGGGAGAGGGCTTAACGTCGTTCAATAAAAATAACCGTGTTAACTTTTCTGGTGACAAAAAATTAAAATGAAGCTTTTCTTAGTCTCCTTTTTGAGAATACATAGACTACGAGTTCTTAGTCCTTCGAGCAAATCGCACGAGACACGAAAATGACCACGCGCGTGACTGAAGGCGCGAGATGGGAGAGGCACGCTCGCGTGCGCGTGCACTTCCCTCACTAAATCTGAAGAAAAAGAGAGACTGCTCACAGTCAAGGGAAATGCACCGAAAAAAAACTTCCAAGTCAATTAGATCTCCTCCTCGCAGTCGTCCTCGTTCTCGAATCTGAAGGTCTCTAATAATGCACCGAGGAAGAAGGCTTTTTTGCGCTCGCACTGGTGACATACTTGCGTACTTATATCTCGATAAAGCATACTTGTGACGTAGGGAGCTTGAATTATGACAATATAATGACCCCGCTCTGGATCTTAGCCGGTGCGCGTTTCTTTGAGGATTTTTATAACATAAAATTTGTTGCGCGCATGGATAGTTATCTTGACTTGAAAAGCACCACTGCTTTGCAACAATCTGCCCCAATGTTTATGTCGTGTATCATTGGTCTTAAGTTCAGCACGTAATTGTTTGACTATTTTCATAACAGGTCCTTGAAAGTCGAGCAAGGTCTGGAATACCAGACAGACCGGAAGCTGTCGGAGGAGATCAGGTAAAGGTTGTTTGTGGTCGGGGGAGGAGGGGGGTGGGAACTCCCTTTTTTGGCTTATACGAGTATGTGCCGCTGAACAGGGTATAGTTTTTCGGGTCTTGAGACTTAGACAATCACTATTTGGCGTCTTAGTAAACAGAGTGCGTTTTTTGACCGGAAGACTTTGAAAGAATGTAAAAACGCATGTTCCCTGATATTAGTTTAAGAATTAGCTAATTCTGTATGCAAAACGAAACGAATCAGGGTCATGAAGTAAGGTTTCTTGTGTTAAATAGAGTGGCAAAATGAGTAATTTTTGTCTTAAACAGTGTCAGGTCTTGATGGCTTAGCGGCACATTTCTTCCCAAACTTCCCTTGAGTGCTGCACCCCAGGCTTGTAACGTAGGAAACTAAGGGTTTACCTGTAAGTTAAGTTTTTTTGCGACAGAATGTGTTGTCCCCACTCTATACTGCAAGCAGTCGTCCTCCTTTCCTGAGAGCCACGCGCGGCGAGCAAAAAGATGATATTATGCAAATGCAGGAGCCTGTGGTACATGGGCTCCTGGCGAGAGAGGTAAAGGCGGAGATACGAAAATGGAGGACTCTTATTTTTTCTTGCTCGAACTTTCGCTGCTTGACCCTTGGGCGTGCTCTTAATCTACTGTGACTCAAAAGAAAATGAGGAACTGATCGCAGTCTGTACCCACTCCCGTCTTCCTCTTGTTGAAGGCCTTTCCACAATTTACTAGCACACTCCTGAAACCCTAACTCCCAGTCCGGTGGCATCCAGGTTTTATCCATGGATTTTGTTGGTAATTTTCTTGTTGTCAGAGTGACACTAGCAGCACTGGAGTTACAAAATATGATGACAGACTGAGTACAACAGTAACAGACAGCCCGCGTAGCGATAGAAGTCGGGCCAGCGGCTCTCCTGATGGCGAAAGTCCAAAGGGATTCGGACATGAAAGGTGAATGAGGACTGTTGTCTATCTGTTGTCTATTTTATGTCATTGATCGAAGGTTTAAGATTTAGACCTAATGCATGAGGTCTCCATTTCATTCCTTTGCTTCTTACTCCTTACGCCCAGACCTAAACGAGGATCTGACAAAAAGAGGTTTTCGAAGACGCTCTCACAATAAATTCTTTTGAAAACGAAAGTGTATTTTTGCGTTTTGGTGGATAGGCAAAAACTAGGGCCACGAAAACACTGACAGGCTTTTCTCCTAAATTTCAATGATGTGTATGGTAGCAAAAAAGTGTCACAGGATAGGTGTTTTCCGTGGGCTGGTTTGGGCCGTCGAAAATGACGATGCAAACACTCTGTGGCATTATTTCAACGTTATTATCGCGATACCTCAACCTGGAATCCTCTTGAATCCTCCTATTTCAAGGCCACGGAGCCATTCAATGTATCTTACGTGGACCTGTCAGAGTACTCTGTTAGTGTCCAGTACTATCTCGCGATATCATTTCCTAAATCGATTAGGTCCTGGAGCCGAGGCACGTAATTCTGAAAGGTCTCAGTTTGCTCGGAGGATCATATCTTGTTTGTTTTTTTCAGGGAAGAATTCTGAATACTGTTTTGTCTCAGTTACAAACTAAGTTTTGTTCTTTTATAGATCTGCTTACCAGTATCACTTTAACGGATCTGACCATAACTTTGAAAACAGGACACCGCCCAGTAGGCTTAGCGGTCATGCAATTTCAACTGTGAATAAGGAGTCTGAAGTGAAAAGTGCGCGTCATTTTGAAGCCCTGAAGAAACAAAGGGGACTGGGAGCGAGGGGAAGTATTGATTCTACTGGCTCGGGTTCGTCGTCTCCAATGTTGTCGTTGCCTGATACTCATTCCGATATGCAACAAGTTATGGCGTGAGTATGGCTAATCGGTATAGTCATAGCCTACGAGCAAGCTCTCTGGGCGCTCAGGTGGCGGGGCGGGAAAAGGAAGGAGAGCTTGCTCTGGAATTTGTATTCCACTCCAATTCCTCCGTGGCTCCCCGTCGACTGAGCTGCCAGATTTTGTGAATCAGCGCGAAGCGGAAACGTGTGCGAATGTAAACAAACACTGAAAAACACGTGCCAGTGGTAATGACGTCATTACTAATGTCATCTCCGCCAATCAATATTTCGCGTCGACTTTTTCGATCTAGAGACGTAGTTGCAAGCTCTCCTTCCTTTTCCCGCCGCGCCGCCAGAGCGCCTAGGAGAGCTTGCTCGCAGGCTAACGTATAGTCAACAAATCGATCGATTATGTTTGTCATTGTACTTATTAAGTTTTACTGCCTGTAATCACAAAGAAAAATAGCTGCAGTTATTTTCTTCGCTTATCACAACAGGAGCAGAAAATAAAATGAAGCGAGCAGAATTTGAGGAAGGACAAGGACGAACAATTCCCATTAACTGTGATTCTTGTTGAGCAGTTGAGCTAATGGCACAGGATAATTGCGTCATTTATACCAACTTTCTAACCAAATCCTGTTGCTGATTTCAGGAAACAGATAGCTGCCAACACGCGCAGACTGGTCATGTCTAAGCATGCGCAAAAGGTTGAAGAATCACCGCTGATCAGAATCAAGCCCATAACGGATAGGAGTGATGTTGTGCCTGTAGAAGAACCAAGAAAAGGTACCCTCTGGCTTTCTCACTCCTAATCAAAATAACAAGTGTGATCAACGTCTTACTTTAGAAAGCTGGTTTACTAAGTTGAAACAAACGCCGCTGACTCGTAGCCAACATTTACCAGCGCCGTACAAACGACTTATTGACGAGATCAAGCAAAACTAACTACGAGAGAACAACTGGAGAACTGACAATTTGACTAAAAATAGACGACTGTTTAACTGTGACAACAGACCGATCGAAACCCACCAATCACTGATTACGAGTCTTCATAGCCAATAACATCACGGCTTAACTGACAGACGACCAATAACATCGCGACATAATTGACCAGTCAGATCAATAACCAGAGTATAATACCATCAACTGACGTGATACAACTTACTTTGACTCTGAAGATGACTACCGCACGGGTTGTCGAAACGTCAGTCACTGTCAACAACAACAGTCCTATTCAGGACTACGTTCACCCGGACGATCAAACTCAACCTTTTGAAATGACTACTGGGTTCAAACCTTTCACAAGGATAAAGGCAAACGCGCAGGGATATACCCTTATCCATTCTTTTTCTCCCTTCCCTTTACAGAAAAGTTCCTTTAAGGTGATGATACACGGGACGATTTGCAACACATCATTTCAACATTGTTGCAACATTGTTTCGAACGGTTTCAACATTGTTTTAATATTGCTACGCTGTGTTGCGTAAATAGCAAGAAATAGGGAGATAACCCAGGGACACCCCCGACAGTGGGTGGGTGGTGGGTTGTAGGGCAAGAGTAGTGGGGTAGGGAGGGGCGCTTGTCACTGCCATTTCAGTGTCACGCCTTTTTTAATTCTTTTTTTTGGCCCGACCCAGCTCAATCAGGCTTCTTTTGATAATGATTTTCAGGATAA